CATCAGTATTGTGTATAGTGTGTTATTTCATACACTGGCACATTATGAAAAGGAATTACCTTTACTACAACCCAAACGGTCAAACCTTGCAATCTAAATAGCAATAAATCTCATCAACTGATTTCAACAACAATAATAAGAATATCAGTTAAGTAACACTTGGAAGAAACAAACAGAACATTTTTTGAGGTATGAATCTGAGAATCATTGTCCTAAGATGAGCACATGACCAGCATTTTTAAAATAAACGTATTGAATGACTTTCCTAACTCTTCTCACTCGATTGCCTTACTTTGGAATTTCGAATGAATGGTACCACCTATAGGGCTGGTCAACTCACACCACCTTCCACTTGATCCCATTCCTCTCAGAGGCACAGCTACTGAGAATTAGAATATTTGAAGATTGTACTGTATATGCAGTAGGAGATTTCTTCTAATTCTGTTCTACCTGTGATGGAGTGAAAGCACCTCATTGCTAAACACTCACAAAATATGTAAACAGGACATTTAAGTAAGCACCATTTTATGAATACAGATTTTTTAAATGTGAGCTATAAAACATAGAATGGGAAATAATTGGTGCCATGGTGGAGAGTGAATTAATGAGTTGGATTAGGATGAGGACCTGAGATTCAGGACCAGGTCTCCTTCCTACAGCTTGGTTTTAGACTCAGCCGTCGTAATGCCATTTGTTTGTGCAGAGGTTTTGTTGAATTTCAATCGCTAATCTCAAGTTGAAGCAAAGTACCGGGCAGCCTGGACAGATTGCCAGTTGATCATGTTGAAATGCTCTCTTATCCATTATTGGATCTGTAACAGAGGAGGCTTAAGAATTATCTGACTTCTCAGTTAATGTGCAGATCATCTGGAAAGCTTGGGATGATGACTCAGAGGGAGGTTGCTAGTGACAAAAGTATGTGTAAATTAGCAAAATACAAGATTTTCTTTCTGAAATTATAATCTTGAGTCAACTCTTAAAACTAGCACAGCCACACCAAAGACTTATAAGGGCAGGTTAACTACCATGTAGCAAATTTGGAATTGCTTATTCCAAATTTAACTGTGTGTTGTCACACTTCTGTTACATTTTAATTGGTACCCTTGCAGTACACTGTTTTTGCCTTCATATTTCTTTGCCTTCAGACCATCTTTGACAGCACAAGAGCAGGTCCTCTGGACAACCAGACATCTCTCATGTCTTATCTAATTGCATTAAAAAATTGAATAACTGACATGTTTTCTAAAATTCCACTGAATTGGTTTCAGCAACACACGAAAGGAAAGTGCTCTGAGCTTTAACTGCCCGTGTAAGAAATAAGGTTCTTTTAGCATTTCTGAATGTTTTTTTGTTTGTTTTGTACATTTTCTGCTTGTATCCCCTTATTCTTGGTGCAGAACGTTTTTGAAAACATTTTGAAAGCATCTAAATATAACCTCGTGTTTATCTTCCAACATGAGGAAGGTGTGTCCCAAATGGAACTTTGTAGTACACTTTCTATATTTAATTGCACGTCTCGCTAAGAAAGGACTGGCTTTTTCATGCCTCTTTTGGCTGGATTCTGCTGCTCTGTGCTATGCTGCTTTGTATTGTTCATGGATAAGAAGACGAGAAAGATCGCTTGTAATCTTATGTTCTCTAAAAGCAGTGCCCTTGGATCTCTTTATAGCAGCCAGTCTCTTTATAATAACCTAACTTTAGTGTTGCACTTGGCATCACCAGGACTTAGTCTGAAACAAAGTTTCACATTTTAAGAGAGTGGGTTTTAAAAAAACTGTTTTTCACGTCTCATGCTTGCAGTTACAAAACCCACCACCGCACACGGGGAAAGAATGAGGAACTGCAAGCAGTGTCTTCCAACCCACCCACCTTCAAGCCAGCCTTCACACATCATTGTGTTTCTGAAAGCCAGAACAGCCCCGGTCAACTAATGTCACTTTCCCTTCAGAGACACTAAGTTTGCGCCATTTGTTCAGGAATCCTTGTCGCTGTCATGTAATGACTTGTGATCACAGAGCTCAATTTATACTCGGATGAGCACCACTACCAGTTCAGCCACTCAGGTGGTCACTCTCTTAATGGAAGTTTTAAATTTCTTCACCAATTTTACTCAAACCCTCATTGTATGGGTACTGTGACTGTGTACCGCTATGTTTCTACCTCAAAAGAGATGTATGTCAAAGGTCTTTATTTTTGCCTAACTGAAAAACCTGTTTCATCAAAACCACAAGTTTCATGTGGATAACAACACATTTGTTTAAATATTCAAAAAAGGTTCTGTTTTCTCATCTTTCCTTGTAACTGATTGTGTTGGTCATAATTTACAGATTAACATAAACAATGTTCTGCAAGTTTGTCAATAACTCTGAAAATATATCTCATGGTTTAAAGTCGCAGATCGGAAATCGTTTGTTCATCTCAGTTAACGGAAGTATGTCTTCCTCTGACCTGATTTTCAGGTCTGCCCTATCTAAATTAATTGAGTGTTTCATCTCAAGGGATGGTGTATTACAGTACATCCCTCTGAAACTGCAGTCCCTCATTTTCCACTAACTGTACCTATAATTTATTTCTGAATTCCACCTGTGTGTATATTGTTATCCAGTTCTCAAGTAAAGGCATGTTATTTTGAAGAATCATGTTGTATCAAAACAAAATATATAATTTTATCAAAGTAGTAAAAAAACTGGGAAAAATGTGCTGAATGCTGTAGTTCGACATTATTTTTCACATTTGAAGATATGTATTCATCTGTATATTACTGCGTATTAATGCACAAGCAATTTTGTCTATTAATATATTTCTACACACAATTTTTGTGTACATTTTTGTTTGTGCAAAGTATGTACACTTATAGCTATATTTTTATTCATTAATTCCATGTGTATAACACAAATGTAATATTTGTGTTTGCATGTACAGTATACATATTAAATAGTATATATACTGTAGAATACCTGTATATTATATTTGTATATACTGTATGGTGCCATCATACTGTATATACAAATAATAAATATAATGGATGCACATTCATGCATGTACTGTATAACGTTTCTGTGTAAGAATATACTTAAAAACTTTTGTAGAAAAAAGATTGATGCCTAACTGTAGTGTAACTACTGTTAATTTTTCTTAGTCAGGTGTTTTTCCAGTAAATACCACAGCTTTCTATGTCTCTTCCTCCCACGCATTCACTCATGCAGGAACGCAGAATAAATTCACAAGAAAACAATCTGGCATCCTTTTTTAATGGGAATGAAACACTTTGACGCATTATCAATAAGTATTTATTAAATCCCCTTTTGCTTCACCTCATCACAGAACTCAGGGAGCTGTGGGTGCTGGCTGTGAACGGCCCTGTGTCTGGACATGGGGAACTGCGGATGGGTGCATTTAAGCTGCTTATTATATCGACTGCTTTTCTCTTGTGTTTTTTTTTTTTAATTTCGGCTTCTCTGCTATGATATCAAGAAAATAGCAGCTGAACTCCTCCATCAAAGATACAAAACAGCCAGAAATGAGTGTTTATTTCTTCCAGTGCCAAATTCGATGCAAAAAAAAACAATAGAGGAATTATAACACTTTATTACTTAACTAAACGAGGACAACTGACAGTAACTGATAAGCACATCTGCCTGTTACAATTGATAGGTGTTCCCTGGAATTGAGCATATATTTATATATATATAGTTATATTGACTTTTCAGAGCTTGGTGTATGTTTAAGTAGCAAAATTATACTCGTGAAGCTTAGTAAGAGAGCTGCTGTGGTACTGTATAGAGCTGGAGGTATCCTTTTGTGATTATTTGCTCTGCATCCATTTTTTATTCTTCTCTTGTATCCTGAGTTTTTCAACATGCAAATATAAAAGCTTTTTTTTTCTGAGGGAGTAACAGCATGTGGGATTTAAGATCAGAATGCCACAAATCAATCACATAAAAAATCAGGCTGTAAATATTTAAAATTCACAAGAGCAGCAGGGTCTCAAGGTTGTATCGTTATTTTATTCATATTTCTTTGTCTTCCTTAAGCTATGTAACAAAATACAACCTCTTATCAAGGCACAATTTGTGCCTTCTTTCTGTTGCATATTAAAAGTATGTTTATGGTTACTCAGTTTTGCATCCAGAGCAATATACTTCCTGATAACAGCTCCTGTATGCCACAAAAGAAGCTGTAGTTTAGGATTGGGCACACCTTAGTACACCTTTCACACCTTGTGGAGTGTGGTTGAAAAGACCGATTACCTACTGATCACCGTCAATCTTTCAAGTCCAATATATATCTTTACTTCCGCCTGTGCGACAGGGCTTCTGACTGTTTATCAGCTTTTCCTTTTTTGTATCAAATCATTCTTGGGACTTTAAAACATAAGTTCATCCTTAGCCAGGATGGTGGGAGTGAAGGATGGAGAGACTGAATCTCAGTGCTCTGCAATCAGTGGATGTGTGCTGTAGGCTCTGTCCAATTGAAAAAGAACCTCCTAAGTGGTTCAACAAGTACAGACACTTGTTCAGAGTGTAGGCTGAGCCCTGTAGTCCAGGGAGTTGTATTTTGAGTCAGGGCTGTGTCATTGGCAGACTGCAACTAGGAATCCAGAGGCAGTAATCCACTGTTGGCCTGGCACATCTGAGGTAGGGTGGGTTTAAACTAGCCAGGGACCTGTTGTGAAATCTGTGTTAATCCTTCATTCATTGGTTCTTGTGTTGGTGCTGTTTTGTGTCCTACAAAAATATAAATGGCAATTGCACATATAAGAAAACATGCGATCTGGTCAAAGTTTTAAAGTGTATTTTATATTTATAGTCTTTATTAGCAGAATATTAAAATTACGGTATTACACGCAGTATTGTTTGAAGGTGTTTAACACAACTTTTAGTATTTTGACTCCCATTTCAGCAAAGCAACCTCTAGACAACGTTCCATCGTGATTAAGCATCTTTTTCCCCTGCTCATTTCCATCAGTTTTTAAATTCTTCGGTGCTGTTCTGTTGCAGGTGTATGGCCATCAGAAGAAGTACTGGCCTATTACTGCCTGAAGAACCGCCACATGTTCAGGTGAGTCTCACTGTGCCTGGCCTGTGCTCCCCTGCACACTGCTATATTGATAGCTGCTGACTGACTGTGTTGATTGAGGTTTAGTACAAAGGGCTCTCGGTGCCCCCCCAACTCCCCACTCCCTGCTCTCTGCTTCAGTCGTCCTGCTGCCTGTGGGCGCAAATTCTGCAGTGCAAGCTCCTGGCTGGGGTGAAAGGCATCTGAGACTTTTGATTTCCACTCAAGGCGTTATGTTGCTCTTTGATTTCCTTTTTTTCCAGAAAGCAGGAGTGAAGAAAAAGAGGATCGATTGGTTTTCATTCTGAAGGTCAGGCGAACACTGGTTTGCAAATAAGACAGCATTTTAAGAAAGACCTGCAAGGTGGTTAGGGACAAGGGGAGTTGGACCTTAGCGCTTGGGGGGAATGTATTTTGTCTGTGCTCATTAACCTTTCTAGGTACATTTCATGCACACATCATGTAAAAATAAAGTACAGTAAGTGATGAACTGCCTGTCTTCTTAACCCTTTTTTCTCAGCCCCCTTGACACTCTATTTTACCAGTCTAGTAATTCGGGTATTCCCAGAAATTCTCATTTGACATTTGTGGGCTTTGCATTAAGAACAGTTTTTGTCCCGTTGATAGGATTTAAGCCAGAAAAGGATGAGCTTCACTGCATGAGATTAATGTTTGTGGGTACTGTTCTGTTATGGCCAGAGCAGGGAAAATGTGTTTAAAACATAACAGCAAGAAACACTCTGCAGAGTGACATGAAACAGGAACACAGGGGCGCTCTGGATACGAGAGACGTGTGTGTGTGTGTGTGTGTGTGTGTGTGTGTGTGTGCGTGTGAGACATGCTCCAATGTGCCACCTCTGGGAATGATGGATTTCATAATGTTAGCTTCAACCAGTACACCCTGCTGCTGTCACTTGTCTTCACTAACCCCCTCTTCAAACTTGCTGGAGACACTCAAGAAAAGCAACAGATTTACTGAAAGCTCTAGGATTTCAACATATCACTGGATTTTTTTTTATCCCTTTAAGAGACTGTACAGCCAAATAGCTACCTGTCAGTAGCCCTTTGTCCTAACTGATGCTTATACCAGAACCATTGTGCACATTAATTTTTAATTGCTCATTTTACAACAATGTGGCTTCATTGTTGAGTTATTTTTTCTTATGCTCATGGAAGGTTCAATATTGTAATGAGTTTCCCATATTTTAAAAAAAAGAATACCAGGATTGTCGTCTATTAACATTAAGGATACACTAAAGAACATGTGTAACGTGTTTCACTGATGAATGCATTGCTTAAACCACAGGCATATTTATGAAGCACTCTGCTTAAACCATAAAAAAAACAATTTTATCCTGAAGGTTTGTGTGAAAATTAAAAATTTGTGTTTCCTCTATTCCTGGAAAATTAGTGGCCTTAATCTTTGTTAAAAGTATTTGCCTTTTCTGTTTAGAATCATAAACTCTCACAGCTCCAATAAAAAGAACAATTGTTGTTGCTCATATTTAACAATTTATTGCCAAAGAAAGTCAGAACTAAACTAAATACAATCGATTCCAATGCCCTCAGTTTGTTTCTTCAAGTTCACTTTGGAGCTACCTGAATGCTGCTCTGGCCACTGGTCCTGGAACTCATCCACAGTGGAATGATGGACTGTGCCCAGATTTTTGGCGATGTGACAGTTGTACTCCCCTCAAAAATGAACATGATTTACCCTTGTGAGTCACAATCAGTCTTCAACTGGCTGGCATAGTATGTAAGGCTTGCTTTTAAAAAGAAATCACATTTTATAAAGGCATGAGACCTTTCCACTGTCCTCTGTACAATATTCTAGCTGTTAAGCAGCTGTTTTAGTTGGTTCTAGACTCTATTCTTAAGGGTCCTGGGTTCTAATTCCAGGTTGGATACAGCTGTTGTTCCGTTGTTCAAAGTACTTTGCTCAGATTGCTTTTGTAAATGTCATACATTATAGAAGGGTCCCCAGTTTGTCTCTGTAAATCAGAATTTGCTTTCAATTGACTTATGTGGTAACATAAAGGAACCAAATAGTATTTTCTATCTTGGTATTTTCTGCCTTTTTATTGTTTTAAATGTGCTTTTTTAAATTTTACTCATTCAAAGGAACATCATTTGCAAGGCATGAATTAGCATTTGATTGATTCCCTTTGAACTAGTACAGTGCTGACAGAGTGCAAGAGGCATCTGCCCCTGGGCCCATGAGCAGGGCAGCCCAGCCCACTGCCTGCAACTAATAAAAAGAAGGAGCAACAAAAGCTGCAGAAAAAGGACACCTTGTCAGATTTCGCTTTATCTGCTTCTGTCAGCCTAGTGGTATAAATGTTGCAGGAAGGGCTAATGAGGCAGCCCCCCCCTGTCGCCACTGCTTTGTGACTTTTCTTCCTCGTTCTCACTCTGATAAAGACAGCCAGCAGAAGATGGTCTGGCAATTCTTCCCCACTTCCTGGATGTTCCTGTTGTGCCTCAGCTGCCAGATGGTGTATTTGTGTGTGAGTGATATGCAATTGGGCCCGAAAGCTTGGACACCCATCTTTATCTGACATTTTTCAAAAGTAAAATAGTTGTGTAAAAGAAAAAATGTCAAATGCCAGTCCTCTTTTTTTAAAAAAAAGAAAAATACTTTCCCTTCAGGGATTCCTGTTACAGACACAAAAATATATCACTGGGCACTCTGGAATAACATTGGGCTCCCCACTGTGAAGATTGAGTTATTGGCAGGTCGTTAATTTAGTGTGACAGAGTAGTACGTTGTCATGTGTTGCACAACACACAAGCTGAATTAACATTTCCTCCAGTTTTCTTAATATTCCATAAGCAGCTGATCAGTTACAGGTACTGGTATTTAATTTCTTCTTCTCCTGTAATTTTAGGGATGTCACTGTGTGTGAGTTGGGTGGAGGGATGACCTGTCTGGCTGGACTTATGGTAAGCTCTGCTTTTAAAAAAAAAAAAAGAAGTAAGAATCATAACATAAATTTACACAAAGCAAAGCCCCTCTAAAACACCATAATTTCACCAACGCTGTCTCACAGGTACACATGAGAAGACACGTGCACTGACACACACGCTGAACGATTTCACAAGGTGCTGGAAGAGAAAAAGCCCTAAGTACCACTTCCAAGTGACAGGTTTGGGGATTGTCAACTGCATCAGCCGAGGTCAAGCTACCGAGTCTTAAGAGACCCTCCAGATTGACTGGCTTTCGAATCATATTGATTTGATGGTTGCTTCAGATGAGCAAAAGCATTTTATCTCTGTGTAGTCAATATCTCTTGTTGTGACATTGCAGGCCGCCAGTGGAACCTTTTCTTCTCTTGCCGCCATTTGTACAAGCACCTTCTCTCTCTTTTTTCTTTCTGTCTCTGGAGCACTTCCTCTCCTTTTTTTGGCCCATGTTTCAGCACCAAAACCTGTTTCAATTAACCCTGGGCTGTTTTGTTGCATAGCCCATCTCTGACCGCCAGGCAATCAGAGTGAAATTGACATTGAGAAAAATATTTGATATAATTGGAATAACAGACTCTGTAATGTATGTATTTTAAAATGTCAATCTCTTCTTGGACATATATATCTACTTTATGCATTATACTATAATGTATACATTCTATTTCAATAATGCAATATAATATTTATTCTATGTGGATATATGCTGTAAATAGGGAGAAATACTGTAGAATTACAGACATAGTGGAAAAGATCACTAGCCTTTATCACAAATGGAAATTCAGTGTCAGAACAATGTAGAAATGTCAACTTTCATTAGATAAACAATATATAACAATTAACAGCTGTTAAGATTTCTCTTGCTTTAATTGTAATTAGGGTGTTGTGATGTTTAGAGGCCCTCTGTGGGTGTTTGTTTTTAGCCCTTTGCTTTGAAACCCACTGAAGACGTGCAGACAGGACAGGAGTCTGACCCGGAGTTGAGCTGAGCTGTCCCCAGGTCATGATCTTTAACTGATCCAGTTTACTGGGCAAAATACTGCAGCGCTTTGTCTGTCATGAGCTGCAAGCGTCAACCAGTGAAAAGGGGTCTCAGCAAGATTAAATGCTGAAATAATTTGTAAGGTTTCTCTCCTGTCCAGTGGCCAGTGTTGGTAAGGAGGCCTGTGCTAAAATTGAGCCTGACTGAATGAATACCCAACTGTACCTCTCGACCCCCTTCACTCTTGCTTACTGTCACTCTGCATAGGTCCAAGGCAATGTGCATATGTGGGTGACAGTGTACACTGCAGAGGGAAAAGAATAACTGCACAATTAAAACATCTCAATACAAACTCAACACAGCAGTGCGTGTTGATAGATGATAAATGACCAATGAACCGGCCAGCTAAATTTTCCTGATGATGCCCATCATGGTTTCCTGCATTTGTATACCAGCAAGACTGATCCACGGCTCTAATTAGATTCTTTTGACTTCGGTCAGCCATTGAGGAACCGTCACCAGGCATTTTCTGAGCCCTGTGACTCACTTTTTATGCAGGCACCAATTTTATGTGGCAGGAAAGCGGTTTCTTTTTCTTTTTTTTTTATGTCCCACGAATAAAAGCGTATTGTTTGGGGTCTGATTGGCATTTGACAAACCTGTCGCGGTGCTATACAGCATTATACAATGTTACAGCCCCAGTGCAGGAGCATGTCAGAGTACGCACAGACACACACCGCACACACACACATTCACTTACACACACAGACAAAGCCATGCATACAAGAAAAGGGAGAGAGAGAGAGAAAACGCAAAAAAAAAAATAGCCTTACAAAGCCATCTGCCTGCAATGCAAAGTTATATGAAGGGCATCAGGCAAGCAGACAGAGCAAGCAGAGCGGCAGAGTGACAGGCTTGTATGATGGCTCTGCCAGATAAACAGAAACCCACAAATGAAAGCCTCTCAGAATACCATCATCCGCTGTCACAATGCAATTACCGAACAGAATGATAGCAAGATAGAGGCTCCTCGCAAATGGAATGATAAAAGTATTGACTGATTTGATTGAATGATTAAAATAATGCAGACATAAAATGAAAAAAAAAAGAAGAAGGAAAGAAAGGAAAAAAGGAGAGTGACCGGAGACTGTTGCGAAAGAGCTAGGTGAGGAAGCAGCAGAATGCCAGCAGCCGGGAGCTGGGGGTGCGCTGGTGTCTCCTCGGGGCGGCCGTGTATTTTTATTCTTACATTCATTTCCCCTCTCTCTCTCTCTTTTTTTTTCTCAGATCGCTATTTCTGCTGATGCGAAAGAAGTTTTGCTATCAGATGGAAATGAAAAGGCCATCCAGAGTATCCTTGTTCTGCTTTAGGATCAGCTGAGCTTCGTGCTCATATGCTCATATACTGTCTATAATTACTACAGACCCACAAGTGGCTGTTTCTGTTAATGTATTACATTACATACGATGCAATACTGCAGTGCATAACTGCATCCTGTAAACTTGGGGAACCGTAAGAAGGTTTGCAGTATTTTTATGTTTAAACCACAGTATGTGAATATGTACATGTAGGAATATATGTACGAAACTGCAGTCCACCAACTTAAGTTGCTTTGCATCTCGGTCTGTTTTAATCTGTTTGATTCAATGGAAATGATTTTATTTACTGCAACCAAATTCTACCTTGCATTGGTACTGTTTGCAGTATTTACTTGACCTAATGTAAGAGAAAATTAGATGTTAATGTTACAATTATTTTGCTTTCCAATTGCTGTATAGATGAGGTTTTCAATGACATTTGATTATATAGCAATAGCAGTATAATCGCTGCAGTTTTGGCTATACCAGCCATATGGCTTCATGTCCTTTGTAGTGTTCATCTGAGAATGTCCCACTAACAAAGTGTCAGAAAAGGCTGGGTCCACAAAACCTGCCTAAACATTGCAAAATATCTCAATTTGACTTCTTGTGTGGAAATGTTATATTTCACGGTTCTCTCCTGTGTAAATATATACTGTTGGTAGACTAATTTAATGGAATCTGCTAGCTGATACCCATGAAGCATTGCAGGGAGCCAGCGAAGAAATCAGTTGCCTTCTGGAAATTCTTCATTCATTCTAGAGGGTGTGGGGTTATGTTGACTTTTTTTTACTTAATTAGCCGGTCATCTGAAACAGTAGAATTTAATTTCCAAAGGACTAATCTGTTTGCAGTTTAGACTGAAATCTGGAAGACCTGTCCCATCCAACTCATCCTAGTGACAGAAATGAAAACTAACTATATGGTAATAAAAACATATTTGAAAATGGAAGCAATGAATAAATCCTCATTGAAACCAGCAGATTAAGGATGCTTTAGAAAACTAGGACTCTGGAATTGTGCTGTGAAATATCAGTCAGTCCCTTAAGATAAAAAGAAAGTTGTTCTGCCTCTGTGTCCCTTGGTTTAGTCCATTATTCATACTTAGAACAAATAACTGTGGTCCTACCAGTCATATGATTCTATTTTCATTAATCTATGCAAATGGCCTATGTCCCTAATTAAGACACAAATCAGAGGATACTGTACAGTTTCTCATGGTATGGTATTCTGCAAGTCAGCCTCATAAAAATCTACCAATATGCGCCTTGACGTTACACACATTAATTTGAGCCTCCTTCAGTTAGATTAATCTACCAGTAAAGTAAACACCTGAAGTCATCAAATGTTCTGGTTTTTATAATAAATATTTATTAACTTCAAACACTAGAAATTAAAGTTGTCAAATTGAGTTGTATGTTAACTTCCTGTCCATTGTTCAGTATGGTATTTTTTCCAGTGACATGCGGGGAGCTCAGGTTAAGGTCTTAACAAACAGTACCATATTAAAATGCTGATAGCAGCTTCTCAAATGTTAATTACTTTGCAACCATCGCCTGTTCCTTAGTTAAAAACAAAGTGAAAGCTTTTAGTGCCTGAAAGAACCAGGAAAATGCAGATATTGTAGTGTTTTGGGTTTAACAAAGGTGCTGAAATGACTGTGGGTTTTTGTAGAATTACTAGGTCCAGTGTAAGTCCTCATATTGAAATTAGAAAGACGTGAACAATAGAGTAACTGACTGAAAATATATACAATTTGCTCTCAATTTGTGCTCTAAAGAAAAAATATTTTATTTGTATGACCATTACAGACTGGACATTCAACATGAAAATAATGGTTTGGTTTTATTTATTTATTTTTAACTTTCAGACTCAATGGGAGAAATTATTTTGTTCTGTGTAGTGTATGATTGCAGCATTATACTGAGCTTTGCCTTTGAAACTGCACTGTCCATTAAAAATATTTTGTGTATAAGATTGAACAAAAACATTTAGGGAGATCAGCTCTGCATTCAAAACTGAACAAAGGAGTTTTGATTATCACATATAAATAATTTGATGAGTAGAGTCCTTGACTCTATCTTCGCAACAGTGATACATTCTGAACTTATGGCTTGTATTATCCTAATGAAGGTCTGCTCTAATATTTTATATATTTGGCATTGTTGGAGTATGCAAGTTTTTTTTCAAAGAGGAACAATACAAATTTTGCTTCTGATTGCAGTAATCTGAATTTTAAAAAGTTAAAAAAAAAACTTGGATGGTCATACAATCTCAGATTATGTGTAAACAATTATAAATGGCTCTTTAAGAAATGTCATTGGATCTTTAAACTGAAAGAGCTATTTTAATATAGCAACCGTTTTTTTAGTCATGTGAGGAGTTGTGCTTTTCATCTTTTAGATGTGGAAATGTGAAAAGTCATGTTAAAATACTTCAGAAGCATATTAAAGTCTTTCCATATTACTATATTTTTTAAGCATCACATATAACTGGACATTCTCACATACATAAAAATACAGGTAAACTTTTGAAGCTTCATTGGCCTTAACCTATATTTGCACGACAGTAATCATTTTCAAGGTTTTTGTGGAGGTGATTTATTACAGCAATGTTGTTCACTAATTTCATACCAGTTGTGAGTGTTTAACATTTCTCATGAGCTTATTGAACACCAGGGCCTGAATAAGATTTTTTTTTGTTGATGTTGGGAGAGGCCATTATGCCGCGTATATCAAATGATGAAACATTTTTAAAATATCTTAAAAATAATTAGGTGGACCGAATACAAATTTGGGAACCCTCGGTTCCCTATGCCACTACCCCTCCATCTGAACCATTTATCCTAGCAAATGGTAGTTTAGGTTGTCCGTTAACACATTGAAGACTCAAGGTGTGAAGTCTTATTTTGTAGCTAAATAAAGGATGTAGATGTTTAAAAATATGTTTTGGATACTTAGAATTCCATTGCCAAACAATTGGAAACACTGTGTAACAGAGGTGGTGGGGGAACCAGACAATTTGACTAATTCCTCACTGTAATCCCTGAAATTGCCAGGACATCACTGAAAAAATAACTGCCTCTTATTTAAAAGGGCACAGGAACTCTGATGAGGAAGGTACACTTGTGTATTCTTAGGAAATATAAATGTAGGGTATTCTAAACTTCTGAACTGTACTGTATCTCTATGACTGTAAACACAGAAAATGCCACTGGGGCTTTGTGCCTTCTCAGTCAGTCTCCATTTCTCTTGTTTACAGTGTCGGTACAGAAAACTGTTTTGATAGTCATGCCTACTTCTTACACTCTTCTGTCAATGCTAAACAAAGTATTTGGGTGCCGTAATGAAACACATCTGTTTAACCTGATTTGTTTTGCTGTGGGGTCTGTAACATTTTATCCTTCCTCTTTAACTACCTCTAGGGTGAGTTTATTTCTCTGATGGCATCCCTGCATCTGTATGCTGTGAGCCCTTGTCCTTGTTACTCTCAGCGCTAAAACCAGGCTCTGTCTCAACCATTGAAACCGGTTCTGAGAATCAGTATTTACATCACCAACACCACATCCATTCAGAAATGCATAAATATGTGAGATTGTAACACAAGAGCCTGGAGGCTTTATTGAAGAGGATCACCAAAGGGTACAGTCATTGAAGTCATACTTTAGAAAGTGTGTGATTCAGTACTTCAAGTTAGCATAATCATGTAATAGATGATTTATGAATCTACTCGGAGCCAATACAATCAATGAGTGAAGACTATCAATAGTTTAAAAGGATATTTTTCAAAAGGAAATTATTTTTGTGAAGCTACTTGGAAATAATAAAGAAAAAAATAAAATGATAATTAGGCTGCATTACTTTGGCTGGCTGAGGAGAGAAAAATATAGAAATACAATTGAAAATGAATTTTTGACAAAGACCTTTGTAATAGAGAAAAATATTTGTTTTTTCCTACTAAAAAACAATACGCATGGTACACTTCATAATTAGATTCACTGTACTGTACCTGTAAAAGTTTAAATTTTAAGCATCTGAGGATTTAACCCAGCTTTATGAGTTACGTTTTATGTTTTTATTGTGAAATGTCCAATAGTTAAAAATCAATCAATATTTTCCCATTAAGTATAATTGATACACATCACTTTCTCACAGGCAGTAGCTGAGGAGAGACTCTCCTTTGTCTAGAATATGACTTAATTTTGAAGAAAGCACCGTAGGGGAGATATGCAACACCTTTATTGGCCCTGTTGCCTGGTCTCCTGTCTGTGTTCTGCAATCTGCTTTGTTTTAGCAGGATACAGTAAAGCAGGGAGACTTCTGGTCTCTTTGACCTTTCACCCAGGTCACTGCTAGTGATGGGATTACAAGATAAGCCCCTCTTCTCCAGCAGTGACAGCTCAGCTGAGCTATATACATTTTAAAAGGGTACAAGGTGCACATTGAAGAAACTCCAGCCTTTGATCTTTGAATTGGATCTGTGCAACCACTCTGGTTATATATACATATATAGGATTTGTCCAGGTTCTTTGGTTCTAATTAAATTACCTTAAAGCTACAGAGCATTTTATAAATAGAATAGGGTTGCGTCTGTCAAACAAATATACCTTTTTATTATAAATTGAACATCCCTTTGCAAAGTTGCTGATGTGATTTACATGGGCATATTTTCATCCTTTTCATTACAAATGATCCCAAAGTGATCTACGTATAGGGACAGAAGCCAAAATAAGGTGCTGCACCCTCTTGGGTAAGAGGCATTATGTGCCAACAGCCCCATTTCATGGCAGATCAGGTAGATAACAGCAAAGCGGGAACTGTAGATAGGCCAGACTTTATAGGCCCAAGGGTACTTTAGCCAGGACACCAGCATTAATACCACTTCTCTTATAAATGTAACTGTGGAATTTTATTTAACAAGTAGTCATGACCTTGACATATCTCTCTGAAAAATCGCACCTCCTACAGCTTGAGTTCCACTTACAAGAGGCATTGAAGCATTACTCAGGCATTGGCTTTCTTTAGAAATGCTATCCAAAGGAAGATTGCTACCCACTGTTCCACCAGGACTTAAGAGCAGCACCCTGGATTTCCTTAAAGGTGCCCCATCCCTGTCCTGACCAAGCCCAGCCTTGCTTGGCTTCTAAGCTCTCAATTATAGTTATTATAAAAGTTCTCCAGGACCGACCCTTTTCTGTTTTGTTTGTCTGAATATTCTGTAACAGGCTGAGTGTTTTGTTGAGTGTAATTGGACATCAGATACACTTTTAAATAGGTGAATTAAATTGTGTTTCTTGTTCTTGTTTATATAGAATTGAACCTTATAATTCAAGAAAAATAAAAACAGTCTGGAGCAGTGTCTTTTAGTCAGAGCATTGAGCATAGGCCTAAATTTCAGTGTAAATATCGTGTTTTACTTTTGTGAAGAAACACATCAGTAACTATGAACAACAAATGCTGTTTTGCAATGCTTGTACTGTAGCATGCAAGAACTGTGCTTTGCCTTGGTTTTCCACAGTTAGCCCTACCCTGCCATGACATTTTTGATTCACCTCAACTTTGTCTGTGTGTGTATGTGTGGGGTAAAACTTCCATATTTTCTTAACTGACAATCAGATGTGCGCAAAGTCATTGAACTGAACAGAAAGGCTGGCGTTTTCAAGACAGCCACTGTGTCAAGCTGGTAAGGCATCAGTATTTAATCCAATTGTTTCATAGTGTTTTAATAGCTCTGAATGCAGCTGTCTCAAGTGCTGCTAGTATACAATGTCATTAATTACAATTTAAAAGAAGAGGATGACCACAAACTTTTTTTCATTTTATTTTAATATGTATAGCTTTATAATGCAGATATCTAATTTGCACAAAGCATTCGTTTTACATTTTAGTAGATCAAACTAAACAGGAAGTCTGTTTGCTTTTGTAGATCTGATTGATCTGGGGTCAGGGCTGGGTTGCATTGAACTTTGTGTCTTTATACAGTATCTTGTAATGATAATGACTGAACTCTTTAGAGGTGACTCATTCCAGTTCTATGGAGGGCTAGTTTTTCTTAGCCTCTGAGATCTTTCATCATAAAATTTGTACAGTACGTAGAGCACAGGTGTACATTCCTGTCCGTGCAAGTACAGATCTTCAGGCTTACTTTACAATTAGTGTTCAAGTTCAGGAATATGGCTGTGCTGAATGAAAACTTTTGATTGAAAGCTTTCATCCAGAAATAATTATAAAGGAAACATACAGCACTGGATTCCTTGTTCATAAGTGTAGGGTAGGGATAGGGAACTGGAAATAAAATTAATTATCTCAAAAAGCCATTTTAAAGTTAAACGATCTCACTAGTTGTTATTTTTTCTCCTCCTCCTATATTTATGCCATGATGGCAAATTGAAAAAGTAAACATATAATTAGGCTGCATTACTTTGGTTGTTTTTTTTATAGATTAAGCTTCCTGTCAGAACGTGAGATGGGGAGGGTGAAGGTCGTGTGCGATTGTATGAGGGTGTTTCTGTTTCTGAAGTCACTGAATAATAGATTTCAACCCCATGCTGGGAAGAAAGATTGTGTTTCCACAAGACATAATTTTTGTTTACTGAGTGTTAATAATTACTAATTAATAATCAGATTTTGTTGTCTGAAATATGGCATCTTTTAAGGAAAGTCAAGTGTTTTAACTAATTGAGTACCATACTTGGGCTGCTCCCAAAGCCAGGTTCTTTTCAGAGTATTTGCCTTCTCACGTCCAGGCATTGCTGGGTCAGAGTGGATCACACTCTGGACGCAGGAGTATGTCAGAAATAAGACCTGAATGCCATTGCAGTGTTCTATCTTCATGTAGGGTTACGTATTCAGAAGCTCTTAGTACAGAGCTGTGTTTCCTGGTTTCTTGTTATAGAAGCACAAAACCAGTATTATAATGCAAGTTGTATGAGTTGTACAGTAAATAACTCTCGGGCTACGAAACGTGTGAAGTGCTTTCTGTTTCAAACCTTACACATGTCCCACTGCAAAGGCCGCTTGCTTCAAGATCAGAGTAGTACCTTGTGAACAGAGCCCTCTGTTCCATTTTTTTCATTTGTTAAAAAAACTGCCACATGATTGGTTTTAATTAAATAAGACTATTTTGAGACTGACACTTTTTTTAGCGAAGAAAAGTAAAATGCCTGACAGGTTCCGTGATTTTTTATCTTCTTGATAAAAGAAGATAAAAATGAGAAAACGTATGCTCAAAATTTATCAGAGGCTTTTTATGGAGAATTTAAAGTCTGCTTTTCCCCAGTTTCAGACTTCTAAGTTCCTTGCTAAGAAGAATTTAAAACCCACAGTATTGCATAGTGGGCATGAGGTTGAGAACTTCAGCCTCACAGCTCCGGGCCCTAGATTTCATTCCTGCTTGTAGTAAGTGTCTGTGTGGAGTTTGCATGTTCTCTCCGTGTTGACAAGGGTTATCGCCAGGTGACCCACTTTCTTCACACCTCCCAAAGGCATGCTGGTTAGGGTTCCCAGAGGGGTTTCTTAGAGGATTCAGACCTAGGGATGTTCTCAGTATAACCAGTTCTAGTTGTGGGACTATAGAGAAAAAAAAAAACAGATTAGCTCAATGGAGTGAAAGACTTCCTTTCATTTCTGGTCTTCATGTTATAATGTACTGAAAATTCTGGGTGGATTAGTGTCCATGTTCTGATAAGTAAATGCACGTGGCAATACTGCTCAAATCAAACCTAGGGTGACGAGTGTTGTTTTCTCTGCTAAGAAAAAAAACTTGTTCTGGCAGTGCACCATGTTTCACGGTGTGATCATCAGGTTTAAAACCTGTTACCATACTAGAAGGGCTATCCTCTGAGCCTTTTCAGCACTAGTATTCCCTTGTATTTTAAATATTCACTTAGGGGGAGTACAGGGTGCATGTTTTACTATTTAAAAATGTCTTTTATTGTTTGCAGGTAAAATAAAGGCTACACAAATCAGCACAACTGTCCTTTTTATTTAAGCAGTTATATTAAATGTAATAATAGCAGGAATGCACACCTCTTTAAATAAGGAAGAACTGTGGCTAATTCCTTTTTTGTGTTTGCTTCCCAGCGTGGTGCGATGGGACGATGAGTCTGATGTCTCGGCACTGGAAGGCCATTTTGATATTGTAATCTGTGCTGACTGGTAGGTACACACAGGTCTGATGGAGAGGAGATGAGATGAGAATGAAAAGAATCCAGGGCACTGGACGCCAAGGTCTTATTGCTGCCTGATGGCTCCACAGTGTCAACAAGATGGAACAAAGCCACCTTAACACTGACAAATTAATATTCCTCTCCATGTGACAGTTATCAGATAGTCTTCTATCAGACAGTAACTTCTACCACATTATTTCCCCAAGGCTGAGTTTGAGAGGCATTTCCATTTTTCTGAAATTGCCTCTTTTTCATGCTTCACGTACCAGCAAATGGATGACTTAGGCAAATTGCAAATAATTATGGCTCAGTGAGGAGCAGAGTACAGGGAAAACGAGTGTAGCAACACAAACAGCTCAATTAGCTGAATTCTTATCATAGATCTCCCTACTGATAGAGGAATAGTATTTTTTTTTAAATCCTATACTTTTTTCTCTCCTGGGGCTTCTACATATGTGTTAATGTGAACTCGTTTCATTGCCTATTTGCTCATTACTTGTTTTGTCTCTTTTTTTCTTTGAGAGAATTTCCTCGTTCTTGCTATGTGACTGCAGTGGTATATTCTCTGTTTCCTGAATTTCAATAATGACTTTGCTGGAGGAACTAGCTATTGGTCCGTGTATATATATATATTACTGTATATTGGCTTGTATGTAATAGACAGAAAGAAACAAGAAAGGTTATGGTGTGAGTATGTTGTGGTGGACTGAAATCTGTAGCCTATACTTTGATTATCCGTGATACCCCAGATACAGGTGACCACAGTGTAAAGACTAATTATATTACAATTGTATGTTATAGTTTGAACCTCGTGCTTGTGATTATATTTGAGTACTGTCCTTTGCAACCCTGGACTCAGAATGTGACTTAATTAAGTATTGCTGTGCTTTCCAACTCTTTGTGGCTTGAAAAATTCTTCCCAACACAAACATGTTACAATTTGTTGGGTGCTACTGATGGATTTTCTGTGTTCTGAAACTGAGGAATAAACTTTAGTCTGCAACTCAACCCATTGAAAAAAGTTCAATTGGACTAACAGTCTTTGCAAAGGTTCAGGCCAGTCAAGTGAACCTTAAGCAGAAGCCCAACAATATCATTTTTGAAGGAAAAAGGGAGAATATTTAGGCATTATTCTAAACGTTTTGTAACAAAGCAGAGAGTGTAACGGTCATCTTTCAATAGCAAATGAAGGCCTTGCCATCCTCCAATTGCGTTTGTGTGTCCGTCACCGTCAGACAATCAGAGCTCCATGTTTGCATGAACACAGGAAGAGCAAAACCAATCAGAACAATACCTTCACTTGACCTGACATTCTGTGAGAGGTCAGTCATTTTATTTCCCTTGCTATTTCAGCTTGAGTTTCTCCCTGCTCAGATCTGAAATTTCCCATGTTTAAAAATAATAGTAATAAAAACATGATAATAACAATAACAATGTCAAAAATCAGTTTTTAAAAAATATAGCAGATTTCAATCATAAAAAATATATTGTGCTTTGATTTATTTTGTACACATAATACATTTCATCCAGTGATTCACACAATGGCGTTTTATTCTGTGTTGTTTCGGTCCTTGGTGCTAGGCAGCTGATAATTGCCAGGAGAAGAGTGATCACTCAGTGATTAACGGTAGGGCTGACGATTACCTGGAAAAGGTCAATAGCTACACTTCTCTTGTTATTAATTATAGTCTTTCAGGCAATCACACGGTAGGGACAGTTTGCATGGGACTGACAGCACACGGCAGCAGAGACTTCATTTAGTGGTTCAGGTTGTATTAAGTGCATTGAGCACTTACACTACACAGAGGGGGAAAAACAACAAAAAACCAGGTACACGCTTTGTATTAAAGTGGGAATAACTAAACGTTCCTGCCTACACAATTGAAACACTCCACTTTCGGGCCATATTCTGTGGCGGCACAAAAGGAGCGTGCCTGCCTTCTGAGGTACTCATTCTCGGATCTGGGATTTGAGCACCACATGTGAAAGTATACCTTTATAAACGTATCATTGTTTGCGCTTTTACCATAGTTTTGCTATATTTTTAGCTAAATTTTTTACCAAGTTTTAAAATGACTCCACTGTGCTTTGACCAGAGCAGACCACAGAAACAATTGTACATTACACTAAACTTTGCTTAGAAACATTTATGATGGTACTGTATTCCTAGGGCGGAAGTATTTGGAAGCTGTAGGAATCCACAGCACAATTTTGAAAACCCATGGTAGAAATGCAGCATGAATTTTTATAAGGGTCATGCCAACACAGAAACGACAAACTATCTGAGTTTAGGTTGGTGTCTGAGAGGAGACACAGAAAGAAAAATGGAGATTAATAATGTTATGAATAACAAGCATGTAACAGATGCTTAATCCCTGAAAATGATTTAATAAGGCTTATGGAGTAATTAGTAAGGTTCCCTAAGTTTACAGTTAAAAAATGTTCACTCAGCTACCATATGGTCAGTCTGCATTATTAAACTGTCTGTTATTCCTGTTATCCCTCTGTTCAACAGTGAGACAGTTTTAACCTGCTTTCAGGAACTGTTGTTCTTATTGCCTCAACATGATATTGCTAAAAAATACAGTGTGGAGGCAGACGAGCCGGTTCCTGTTTAAATTTGCACTCAATGTCACGCAGGGGGCACGGAGCAGAACTACATTTGATGTTTCTGACTGAATAATGCTTTTTTCTTTTGAACTTTTTTTTATATACAGTAGTTGTGTTCAAGGCTCCGGACAAACAAATCCAGAGGAGGACAGCTCATTTTTAGTGGAATGTATTCTGGCCATACGTGGCCCATATTAAAAGTAAAGTAAGAATTAATGAAAAGTAAGAATAACAAAATTTGCATATTGATATATTTTGCATTTTATATACTGTAATGGACAGCCATAGTAGCAGTCTTCAGGGTTAATTGGATAAGTGAATTTGACACTGTATTTACTGTTTATTAAATGGGAGGAATACGTATGTTAGATTTTTCTACTGCTATTGAGTATTCTCTGAATTCCTCACTAACTATGGGAGAACAGTTGCATAGAGCTAACAGTTGCATAGAGCTTTTTGAGAGCTAAAGATCATTTTTGTGTACCAACTGTGGTGCACTGGAATAATACCTAACAATCACTTTATCTTCTCACCTTCTGTCTGATAAAGCCAGTATTGTGGACATGTGCATTAAACAATTACATTTTTAAAATTCACAGGTCTCTATAATCCTTTTGCTTAGGAAAACAGGAGCAATAGCAGGGCCGTTTTAATTATTTTTTACTTATTTACATTTTTAAGGAAGCACACTTCATTTTCCATGGTACTAAATAGCAAGTAATTAAAAAAAAATTAAAAAAAGTTCTGCATCCAAACAGGTAGGCTAGATGAAATAAAATAGTTGAAACTCTTGAAACAACTCACACAAAGGAACCATTTGGCTCAGTTTCATTACTTAAGTATCTTTCTAATTTTAAACCTTGAATTCCAATATAGCTAAGTCTGCTTGGCTAATATCACTTTTGGCACGTCTGGTCAGGTCGTCTAAGCTGCCCATGTGGGGGCATTCTGTTAAACCCCTTTGTCTGTGTCCCTGGAAGGCCACACTGGAGTTTCTTAATCAGACTGAAGGAAAGCACTGTCCTTTCCCCACAGTGCTCTTCTGGGTTTCCTTGGCTAGGAATCTGGAGTCAGCCAAAGTGAGGACCGTCACTGCAACTGTGCATCACCGGTGAAGCACAGAGCTCTTAGTCTCCAATCTACTCACTCAATCACTTGATCTGCAGATGGTCCCAGCCATCTCTTCTGATGAATACATGTGCGCACAAACTCGCAGGCGCTCAGTTGTTATCCACAATAAGCTGGGAGCACCGTTTATCTAATTGTTTATTTACTCAATATAAAGGAGACCCTGCTTTTGTCCTTCACCGGAGCTTGGAGGGGCAGGGGGAGCTTATTTTTAGAAATCATTTCATTTGATAAAAAGCATTTCATCAATTGGGGAGAAAGAAGAATTAGTACTGTGGAAAAAAAAATCACAGCGAAACAATCAAACAAACCATGGAGACACATACAAAAAAGAAGGTATTACTCACTAATCGTCAATAACATGAATCATCTGATTAAAATAAGCAGCTAAGCAACACCATATGATTTCGGCAAGTAATTTAGTAAATGCCTTCCTCACCCAATATTAGAATGGATACTTCAGGTTTCATTGCACAGATGAAGTTAATGCGGGCCGGATTAGACCAGATTAAGTATGAAAGTCAGGTCAGAGCAGCAGCCATTAGATTGGGAGACACTGGGCTTCTCCGTAGCTTAGATGAGCCTCACATATGGATGCTCTCCAGATTATATGGGTGAGGCAAGGTACTGCCAAGAAAATTAGAGTCAAATATTGCTCTTCAGACAAATTGTGGAATAACTTACAGTAGATTGGTTCCCTACACCCCCCCCTCCACCACTGCCACCATATTGTTGATATTCTCACCATGTCATCCTATTTTGTACTTGTAGGATAACAGAGGGGAGACTCCATAAGAAGGTTTTCGTTAATATACTTTTGTAATGCACTACCCTGGCTATTTATAAAGGCTTAAGTAGCCTGTTTTCCCAGACCAGCATGACACAGGCAGTCTCTTAACCACCCTGAAGGATGTGCTTGTGTATTGTTTTTGGTTCGGTAATAGGAACACTTCGCCAGAGGGGGTGCAGAGCCTTTCATTTCAAAGTACCGACACTGAAATTTTCGTGTTGGGGTTAGGTGGTTGATTGGCAAGTCGTTGGAGGTTCCTTTTTTCCCCTCTGAGTTTTTTTTGTATTTTGTTCTCACAGGTTTATCACTTACATCGCTTAAGAGTTCTCTGTGATGCTCCCTGCTACAAACCTCTCAGCAGGCATTCGCTGTGTTCCCGACTCTCTCAAACATTCATGATTGCTCACCATGCCACGCGTGTCAGTCAGTATTCATAAAATGGTACTACCATCAAAAAAAAAAAGAAAAGGAGACACATAAAAATGGGGCTCGGGGAGAAAAAGCACTTGCCGGTTTTCTTTTTACATGTGGAGGTGTGGTTTTTTTAACAGGGGCGGCAAAGTGGAGTTGAGACCAGGGAGTGGAGGAAATCGAAGTGCAGAGACACTGTAGAGCAGCAAGTGTGCTGCAGGAAGAGTCACAGACTGCAACCTTTTTTGGTTGAAACGCCATTGTTAAAATGTGACCTTCCACTTTCCAAACAGGAGCCTATTAAGGAAGGGAAAAAAGAAACGGCTTTTGTGTTTGGAGAGTTATGACCTTAAAATATTTAAAGGGGTCATTTCCAAATTTATCTTCGGGGTTTGCTCTCCACGTCGTATTTTACGTGAGTGGAAGCAGTTTTTTCAAACAAATGAAAATGGTGGCAGAGGAGAACTTCACCCCCAAATGTTCTGCTGATTCTTCAAAGGCAATTAAAGGTCCCATGAATTCAAATGTTCTTTTGAAAAACAATGGCAAAAACTAAAGACAAATTTTACAAGTGTTTTTGCAAAAGACTTGAAATTATCCTTAGCTTTTAAAATGCTTTTCTTTTCACCATGTATTGATCAGGATTGATTAGGGAGTCATTTATTCAAACGTCATTGCAATGTAAAATGTTTATCACAACTTTGATGTCAACATTTTTAAACCATTTCTCAAACCTACACTTCTTCATGTTATTATTGCCATCTACATTGTTAGTTGTCTTAAATAGTCCTTTTGTGGAAAAAAACATTGAAATGTAGGACTCATGGGTTACTTAACTTTTTGTCACTGGTATACATTCACAACAACCACAAAGGAAAGATTTCAAACATAGTTAAACATAGAGTGCACTATTATTATTTCAAGATTATAGAATGCTACCGCCGCATATACCATGTCAAGAGAAAGAGTGTGGTTGTAATATTAATATTAATATCTTACAGTTTCAGGACAAGTCAACTTAGCTTCCAAATATGACAGGAGCAACAGTTCATGCATGTCAAACAAAGATTTCCTGATCTTTTTTTCCCACACTGTTATTTCTGCAGAGATACCACAGCAATGCACAACAATGCCCGAGGCCTCTGTGCTGTACAAACCCTTATTACACGTTCAGTAGTAATATAATTAGATTGACGTGTCTGCCCACGATACTAATGGAGACGACATTGCTATAATTATGTTAAAGATACTGGGAGCAGCTTCTCATGCTGCTCTATGGATGCGAACTGGGTAGTGTGTCACATTGACCAGATTCTCTGGAATCAATACGTCACTTGCACTGTCACAGCAGTTTATATGAACTGTAATAACTCAATGAATGTGTAATTTAGGAAATTGCACTGGAGAGGCATTATATGAGTGGGACTGCGATACAGCAGTTTTGTAACATGCACTGTCATGGCCTGGCAGGTGTTTTTTCTTCCTTCATTGTGTGGGGGTCAGAGAAACGTGATGTATTTTACCTAGTGCCCTAATCTATTCTACCTCAGCAGCTCTTTCCCTGTCCAACTTGATTGAATTAATTGGATCTGGTAAAGACCTGTTTACAAGTAAAGGCATTGGTTTGAATTAAACATATTCTGCAGAGAATAATTCAGCATCATGGTTCTCTGCAACACTCCTTGCCACAGGGGTGTTCAGATGTCAGTACCTATTTCCCTTCACATCACTCATAAGGACTGGCAGAGCCCATTGCCTTGCACAGATGACTACACCGGATTCTTAATAGACCTCTTTAGTGACACATCTCCATGTAACCCTCTGCCTTTGCCTTTTGCACTCTGGTCATAATGAAGATAATCAAGTGACTCTGATTTAGGTCAAGTCAAGCTGGTCTTTTAAACAAATCTTTCAGAACAAGAAGGACTGTATCGATCTGACCCTTACTTCCAGCTTTTTCAGTGTGACCATGTTAGTAATAAAATAGAAGAGTTAAAAGCAGCAGCTAATAAGAGAGAGGCCTTCTAAATGGCAACAGAGACGTTGGCTAGCTTCTTTGAAATTATGGGTATCCTTTAGCTTTAAACATGGTCCTTCAAAGTAGCATAGATTATGTGTAAGCTATGGAGGAGTTACGTTCTGTGTGCGTCATGCAAGTGAAAAATAGTCTCTCAGCCCATCCGTTCCTGTCCAGTACTCTGTGCTCAAAGCTGAGAAGTATAATTACTAGGTCTTGAGTTAAAATTGCTTGCTATCCAATTGGCCATTCATACATCACTTGCCTTGTATAATAATCATTATTTTAAAATAAAGAATGCATATCGCTTCTAGGATGTAGTAGGTAAAATTACTCCTGATATATGCACATTAATGGCTTGTGCAACTTTCCTATGTTACTGTAGACTATTCAAAATAATTGCATTACAAATTCAGCTACTCTGACATACTAGATGTATCAGGTTAACTTCTCATGAAATTGAAGAAAAGGAAAGAGGGATTTATTGCTGATATTTCCTCATTGAGTCCATTTGCATATGGAAGGTCATTGACTAATGTGACTGGAAACTTTCCCCTGATTCCACAGAAGGTATGTAGAGATTTGGATTATCTGGATCTGCTTGTATTGTTTCATTTAATGAAATTACTTGTGAACTAATTTATTATAATATTGGAATATTAAGAGTGCACCACGCACTTCAATTTTAATTTGAGTAACACCACCAGCGCACGTCAGTAGGATGTAATGGGCTTGTGTTGGCATTACTAGAATTAAATAGAGCCCATTTTGTTGTTTTATCTGATTGCTAATGCAAAGTATATTTTCAGTAGCTTATGGGGTGCAATGAAGTGAGAGGTAATGTCTTTCAATGATATTTACCCTGTTCATTTCCTCATCGACTTGCGCTCTGTAGAGGACTGAGTGCTTCTCAACCTAGAATTACAATTTTACTGTTGGCATTCTCTCTTTTGTCGAGCTTTTAAACCCCTTCGACATGGAAAGAACGACTGTTTCAGAGAGTAGCTTTGGAATTTAGTCTCCAGAAGCACAACGCTGCTGGTTTTGTGAGGAGATGGCTGCTGAATTTGAAATTTCGGGATGAAATTAAACATAAGGGTTTGAACTTTTATTTGTCATAGGTAAAATTGCAAGATACAAATTAAAATAAAAGAAAATGTGTTGTTACAGAATCATGGATAGGATTGCTTTATTTGGATGCAGTTATCCATGAATTATTTGAAATCCAATTATTCCTAATAAAAGTTGCAACATCCCAGAGGCTATGCTGGAAACAAAATGTACAAGACAGGACTGCACTCTAGATACGATGCCAGTCCTTCATAGAACATGGTCCACTATTTCAGTTGTATGGACAGGACTGCACTCTGGACTGTCCGTGCTACTGTAACTGTCACACCAGTGTGCCACTCACTGCAGTCATATGGAGTGTGATTGGGTAGTTGGTGCACATCCTTGCAGTGCTTCCCTTTCAAACTTCACCTTTTTACACCAGGCAATATTGTTCTAACATTCATCCCATATCTCCGATGAGCCCTTGGGGCCACTCATCCCTATTTAGATCCCAATCAGATGACGCAAATAATAACATATTCAGAAGTCAGGACCACAGAATACATTTTAAACATTCCCTGATTCTTGATATAACTGCTAAGCTGACTTTCAAGCCGTGCAATTGAGAAAGACGGACGCATATGAGCAAGAAAGGTTTTAAATTTGGTATTTTATAAATGGAATACACATACATACACGTAAAGTATGAATTGAGTGACATAAATGAGATCATAACCAGTCACTGCTGTAGATTAATCCCTTAACTGTAACAAATCCCTAATGTTGACCAAAGCCTGAACAATACACCTAACCTTAATACTAGGGTTATTTGCATGGGGTATTTTTTCCATTTATAATACTTAATAAATGTATTAACAGTTGTTTTATGATCCATTGATAAGGGTATTTTTCCAACCATAATCTAAAATTTGATCAGGAATTCTTCAGATCAGATTTTTTTTTTCAGATCAGTCAAAATTACATTTATGTCCTTGTATTCCATGATTCATTTTTGGAGTGAATGGCAGTTCTTTTCAAATGGTGTTGATTTTTTGTAATTCCTCTCGCAGCAGCTGCTGGTTTCAGTGGCTGCTGTTCTGCGTGCCCTCCTGTAGATGGCAGGGCAGCAGAATGTGTGTGTGTGTGCAGTTGTGGAAGGAAAGGGAACGAACGATAAGGAAAAAAATACTCTAACTCATGCAAATTGTTTTTCTTCTCTTTGTGGTTTTATTTGTAAACAAATGAAAATAAATAGCCTTGTGCTTATCTTTAGCCCCTATCAATGGAATGCATTTTAATCTGGCTTCTCCTCTTCCCCTCTCAATGTCAGCCTCTTTCTGGACCAGTACAGAGCCAGCCTCGTTGATGCAATAAAGAGATTACTCAAACCGAATGTAAGTGTGTTTCAATTTTCTCTAAAGCACTGGCCTCAGAATAATTAGTCCGCATACAATGATTGAGACAGTAATGGAATGGCAGGATTAATGTCATGTAATACTTTAATACTTATTATGTCCAACTCGAATTGAGTCTTCTAATCTATCTGATGCTTTCCTAATCATAAACTAGGGAACTTCTTATATTTGGCCTTCTGATAAGACCCACGGCGTGTGAAGCAAAGTAAATGAAAAAGCTTCAAAGATAGTATGAGATTACTGTTTATCTCCTGGGTTTTCAAGTATTCGCTTTGATAAAAATGTCTTTATATTAAAAAATGAATACATTCAAGGTTTGCTGTGTTGGCCTCTGTCATTTGTAATCCACTCAGCAGTAACCTTCCTGATCTAAGCACTTCTTTCAAAATTCTTTTTTTCCCCTCATTTCCCCTTTCTCACTTCCAGATAGTTACAGCACCGTCTGTCCCACTAGTCAGGTGGGAAAAAGGCCAAGTAAAGTGAAACAGCCTAAGATTTTATTCAAGAAATGAATTACAGGAATAAATGCTATAAAATGAAAGCTATGACAATGCTATGTGTATCCTTTTAATAGAAATCATGGCCTTTGTTAGCTTTTAAAGTATACAGTATATTTTCTGTTTTGTACTGTATGAGAACAGCTCATGTTTTTCATAACTCAGAAATATAATATCATGACTTTATACTGTTCTTTTCACTGACAATTGAGGTTATAATAATTTAATTGTTACTTAAACATACTTTGCTCACTGTCTTATTCATGTACAAACCAGTTAGACTAAGGTACTTGTAGGAAAATAATAATAGTTGTAAATGAGAGGAAACCAATTTTAAGTTGTAGCTAATTGACTCAAGGATCTCCTCCTGTAATTTCTTAAAAGAAGCCAGGGCTTCAACAGCATGAATGGATTGACGTATGTCGTGGGGGACATGATTGAGTATGTAGCGTGTTACAAACTCCCACAGTCTTCTAACCAAAGAAGTGCTTACTATTCTTGGTTCAAATTCTCTTTAGCATAGTCTCCACTTTTGTCCTTTGTGTTTCATTGCACATTCTGAAGGAATCTGCTGGAATGACGTTATCAGGCTTTTGAAGATTTAAAAAATGTTATAGGTCCCCACTTAGTTGTTCTGTTCAAGACTAAAAAGGTTCAGGTCATTGCCGGACCAAAACGAAACAACAGCACCTGAATAACTTAAAGAACTGTTGCCTTGGTCTAGACATGTCAGTATCACGCTGGTGTAGCTCATTAAGAACTGACTTGGAATGAAAACTTGCAGACATGAGTGTTCCCCTCGGACCAGGGCTGGACACCACTGCTGGACTGTCTCAGTTACCTTGTGTTTGATCAACCTGTGAAGTATGACTTGTGGGTGGACTACATGCCTGACCTTCAGGTATTCAGAATTCCCCCAAGCTCTTTATATGATCAGAATCCCACAGGCAGATCTTCTCATACCCTTTCCCTTTGTCCACAAACCTGTTTGACAGCACTGACAGGTGTCAGGTGAGCGGTCTTGCTGCTTCCTTGCTGCGTGTTGTAAGGGAGAGCAAAGTACAGCTTTTGTGCTGTTAGAAAAGATCATCCTTTATTACAAAACAGAATCAGTGCACACACCTCTTATCTGTAATGAATGACTTACCACCTTCCAAAACAATCAGCTGTTCTGCCTAGGTTTTCTTATTATTTACTTTTATACACTTGTGTGTAACAAATCTTTCAGAGCAAAATTACATTTTCATATGTGAAGAACAGCTGAATCACTTGGTTTCTTCAATAAATAAATACATTATTAAATGATAAGACCGTCCGCATTGGCATAGTTGATGTTTTTGTTGTTGAAGCAGTCTGCATGTTCATGGTTGTTGTTGTTTTTCCATTTTCCATTTAATTAAAACAATAAGATGATCAAGGTATAAAATAATATTTAAAGCCAAATGATTCCAAAGAAACTTTGAACCTATTTCTAATCCTCTTACTGCATGACTTGCTGCATTGGTTTATCTATAAAGTGTGGATGTGTTTCCATGTATTGATTGGATTAGGTGAGCTTTAATCTTTTTGTTTATTATCTAATATAATACCTGGAAAAAACCTTGGGCTGGCCACTCTTAGGGCACTGACCTAGAATGAGGAGAAACCGTAGGGGTGCAGACAGGTGGCCTTTCAGGGTTGGGCCAGAGTAATTAGGTTCTCTGACTGATTTACCAAATAGATCACTACTATGCATCTCACATGCTAAAACCCTGTGTGTGTTTTTAGCATTAGAGAGGCAAAAGGCATGCAGTAGTAATATTTCTGGTTAGAATTGCACTTGGCAAGTGCCATCAGTCTGCAGAGGTGATCGCTGGGATTCCAAAGAAGAGGAATCACTTCTGTTGTAAGCCAAGACAATAACACTCCCACACAAACAATTGTACAGTTAGACACCGCATCTCGGACATACACCTGCCTGAGCAAACCAACAGAGAACCCCCACTCAGGCTTCTGAAAACTGTACAAGGTCATAGCTCGTAATAACACACAGCCATGAAGAGGCATCATGGTTACCTCTTCTGCCTCACAGGTCTTGGATCCTGGGTCTGATTCTGTACTGTTGGGCCTTCTGGGTGGAGTTTGTAGGATCTAGTAAATAACACTTGGAGCGTTCTTATGCAGTTTCCAAAACTTATTACCAAGAAGTTCAGTTAGAAATAATCTCAAAGCTTTCTTTAACTTTAAGTTTACATGTTATTTTCTTATTTTGCGCCTCTTAAGGCAATGAGACAGTAAATAAATCTGTAATAATTTTGTTTTTCTGTTACACTGTACATTCATTTTAGGAATAATGAATGTCAGACTAGCATCTGTGAATTATATAGCTGTAGTTTTGTGTATTTCTCTGTGAGGCTCTCGCTTTGGTGTGAATGATTGTACTTCTGCTGCCCGGATAAAACACTTACTGTAGCATCTCTACTGAACATCAAAAGAAACATTTCTCTATTAAAGGGTATACATTTTTGCAAGAGAAAAGTACCGAATTAGGATATTGTGTAAATGATTTTGGTGCCATTTTGATTAATTGAACACGCTTATGTACTGACCAAAATACTCACCCCTTGATGAAAAGAGTTGATTAGACACAAGAAACGAGGTGATTAAGTTTGTGAAATGTCAAGCCGGGTGAAAATCAAGCAAGAATACAAAAAATGAACAAAAACACCCTACTTATCAAGAGAACATCAGCTTCATCCCATCAACATGTTGGAGGCTAATATAAGTCATCTCATATTAGTCACTGTTCTCACCCTTCGGGGGGGTTCACAGTCAGCCCGGCAATGTTACCACCAACCACAGCCCATCAGTAATCAGGGAGATCACCAATAAGGTCTCCTTGACGAGATTGATGGAGATCGCCAAACCTGATGGTCTGGGCAGCAGTGTCTAGTCACCACAGAACTCCACTTGTAGTAATTGACCTGATTGCACAATGCTAAATTGACCATGTCTTGGGATCCCACTTTATGACTTTCCTGTACACTCATCCCTGCGTGATAAAATTTCAGCTGATAGCATACCGAAGCATTCAGAAGATAGTCATAAATTGACTTTCTTCCGAAATAAGAATGTAACATGTAGTCAGTGGATGCCCTTCTTGACAAACATTAAAGACATCAAAGATTTTGAGATGAGCTGAGTTGATAAATTATTAATTAAGTTGTCTGATGATTTTTACCAAAGCATGTTAGATTTATATTTATACAGCTGGGTAATTTACTGAAGCAGTATGACTGAATACTTTGCTTATGACATCAATGGCAGGTCCCACAATATTATGGTCCACAGCCCTGTCCACTCCTCTATACTGCTGCCTCTAGTGTGTGTAGAGTAGGTATGTCATCTAGGACTCGGAGGCACCTGCTCGTTCAGGCTCTACACAAGAAGAAAAGGAACAAATCCCACAAAACAACATCTTCAGCCTAGTGCAAACCATGCATCGAAGATGTACAGCTAGTATTTCTTACAGTAGTGGCCACACATGCTACTATCCTGTGACTTCATACTGCAGACTTCCTGTTGATCAGCTCTGTTGATTACAAATATTTATTTAGCTTCATGATAATGTTTGTCATGTTTCTGGTTTATGAATTTATTGCAGTTAAAGGTGATACGTTTATTTTGAAACTACTGTATATCAACAGATCAGTCGAGTACTGTCCTCACATACAATTCAATGCAGTTAAGCAATGAAAAATATACAGCCAATTTTTTAAGGGGAAAACATGACGCTGGGTTATTCTGAAGTGTTTAAAATGTTAAAAGCATCCTGTATGTTTTCCATTAAAATTGCATTGAGTCTGAGTCATCTCTTAAGGCATGAAACACCATAAAGCAAGATGCTCCCTTTAAGATGAAGGGCCGTATTTTGTTCACCAAATTGTCTATAATGAAAGACTGTTGGGGACAAAATAATACAATTTGTTTAAAGTGAAAAGAAATAAAAAAAATTGTAAAATATACACAGCATCCTTTGTATATGTAAAGTGAAACAGAATTGCATATTTTGGCTTACTAATGTGAAATTACTCAGTTAATTAAAAATGGTGTTTTATAGCATAACAATGCTGGTGTACAACAAGTACTTGCCATTTCATATCACAGAAGTGTAGGACTATAGATGCTACATCGAGTGCACAAACATGTAGGTGTCGATTTTGTGCTGTGTGAGAAAGGCTGCAGGAATGCGGTCCCCAGCAGGCTGTACGCCGTTCTCAGCCCCTCTCTCCTCTCGCTGCAGGGGAGCGCCATTGTGTTGGCTCCGCGGCGAGGCGGCACGCTCGGCGAGTTCTGCAGCCTGGCCGAAAGAGCCGGCTTCTCCATTTGCAGATATGAAAATTACGACGAGCACATTTGGAACCTTCATTCAAAGGTTAGTGCACTGCCTCCGCCAGATAACACAGCCTCAATCCGCTCCCAGTCAGGGAAGGATCAGGGGCCTCCTGACAGGCACTTTAACTGTCCGATTACAGCGTTCCCTGAGCCCACTCCATCCGAGCAGGTATTTCTGCTGCTTATTAATTATGCCACAGAGTGGATTAATTCCTCTCCTAATCTCCCTGTCTTGTGAACGGATTATTAAAGTGGCAGTTTCTTGCTTGTATTTCTCTCCTCACTCACAAGGTTTTTCATGTAAGAGCTTCATGTGTATATACAGCATACAGTATATACATACAGAGGTCCTAGAATTGCCATCACACACTTAACATATTCTTATATTTATTATTTCTGTCTGTACAGTTTTTCATATATACAGTATACACCATTTTATAGAATGACATATACAGTATGTGTGCATTCGTACGTACTGTATGTAAACATAAGCATATGTGTATTGTGTTTGTTCTCCACGTCCACATCTATAAATTAAAGATTCTTAGAATTCTGAGCGCAGCAAATGCAAGCCTAAAATTTCAACAGGTAAGCAGCCAATTTCATTATCCAGACGTGTGTTTTTTGTTGATTTTTATTTTTTATTTAATAACAATTCTATGAGAGAAACTGTATTTTTTAAAGAAATGCATTGGACTACTAAAGTCTGGCCTAGGAGGATATATTTTTGATTAAATAAAGGTGTTACACCTCACATAGATGTAATAATCAAAAACAATATTATATGTATTTCTATAAAATATGAAACAATATAGATGTTACTGTAGATTCCAAAGTCGACAGTTTTTCTTATTTCAGAAACCGGGTGAGATTAAAAGCTATCAGGCCGAGTAATCAAAAGCATACAATGAAAATAAAAAAAACCTAATCGGGCTTATCAGGCATCCTTAAATATTACTGCTGGAGGAAAACAAACAGCCCAATCATTTTAGTTATTTTTTCTTTAGTGCTCTTGCTCAAAACAGCTGCATAAATGACCACCTAAAAGCAGCAGAGAACAGATGTTTCCAGCTGTTTAACAGCAGATACAAGCTGCTCCCAGCTTCACGGAGGCAGGAGAAGGAAGAGCAGCAGGCTTGAAAGCAGTCATTAACCAGCGCTAGGCTGTCAGTATTCAGAAGGGCAGGTAAGGGGGAAATTGTTCTGTCAGCAGGACGTTGCCTGCTTCTCAAGCCTTTAAAAGTGATTTCAAATTTATTAAAAAGCTTAAGGAAATTTTCTTTTGATTTTCTGCCCTTTCCTTTTTGGTGCACACTTTACACAACTGACAGAGGAGGCAAAACAGTTTCTTATGGCAGCTTGAGGCTGCGCTGCAAAGTGTGAATCTGTGGGAAAGAGGTTTAGTTTCTGAGTCACTTTGGCATCTGTGGTGGGACCAGCGATGATGTAAACGGAACTTTTTGGACTGCGTTTTCCGATGACATTTTCTAATTTAGTTTTTAGGCAAGCCTTCCAAAACGATGTTGGAGCTCTCTTCCTGAAGTCTCTAGACTTCATTTAAAATCCTCTGCAGCAGAACGCAGTCAGATGGATTCTATAGAAAGAGGCGCTTATTTAAGATGTGTTGGCTCGAAGGCAAGTAGTTCAGAGCTCACTAGACTTTGATACCACAGATGGTGCAAGGAAGCAAACAAACATGGCGGTATGTGTGCAGGAGCCATAGGGCCGGAGAAGAATCCAGCCAACTGAGACATCAGGTTTTGTCAGCGTGGTTCCTTCTCTCCACACTGTGCCTCACAGGGAGGCTCTTCCTAACACAATCAGCAGTCAATATCTGTTTGGAGAAACAAATGAAGTTGTGTTCTTTCAATGCAAAAGTGCAGCTCCCCTACTGGCAGCTACTAATAGCACTTTGTAAAGCCTGAGTCCACTGTCTGTGTTGACATTCACTGAAGACGAATCTCATTGTTATCAGAGGCTATCCTTCTCGTGCATGGGGGAGTACCTTTCAAACTGTTGGTGCTTGCTGAGCAGTCACGAATAGCAGACTATACTCAGCATAATCATAATGTAAATATTTTGAAGTGTTTCACGCCAAAAAATAACTGCAGTAAATCTGCACAACGGTGTTATTTATTCACCCATGCAAGTCAGTGATAAGAAAGCCTTTTCTATGATTCTTCAGGTCTATCATTTTGTTGTTAAACTTAGCTTTTAATTTTCATTTCCACATATTCTGATTAGTTCCAGTGATGGGAAAAATAGTGTGAACAACAAATTTCTCTTAAGTGACTACCATTCCTACATCAATTTATTTATTTTCATGTTTGAGGTTATGTTATAAAACAGTTATAACAAAAGATCCTTTTAATTTTTTAACACTTTAAATGTTCCTTTACGACCACTGCAGAACCTCCTTAGAAGCCTATGATAACTTGAATTGCTTTCTATACAGTTTCATTTCAAAGTTTCTATGCTGTTCCTAACCTTCAGATGTTTCAGAGCTCAAACTGGTTGTGTGTTAGGTGCCTGTATGTCTGGCAGCCAGTAGCAGCATCAGGCTATAGGAGCTGGAAATAAGCCATGTTGTTGAACCCAATATCCTGGATTCTTTCAAATAATACCTGGATGAGATACTGGGATCAATTAACTAGTAAATGCCACATAGGCTGTATGGGCTGAATAGCCTCATCTAATTTTGAACATTTTTATTTCCTTGAAAGCAGAGGGTTCACTGGGTCTCTCAATACTAAAGTCCTTTTCTCAGACCCATTTTATTAAATTTTAGAAAGGCCCTAGACCAGCTTTTTTCAAATATGTCTAAATTTAGGCCACCATTTTCATGTGACCCAAGGACAGCAATTGCAGGATCGGAGGCAGACTGTATGTGAATGCACAGCTGGCCTCAAGTCTCCCTTTTGTATCATATTACCAGCAAGAATATTCAAGTAACAAACCTGATGACACTTCTATACTGTAAAGAAACAAGTAATAGCTTTATTCCATGCTGAAAAAAAGTTGAAAAGAAGACACCTGAAGAAGGCTCCACGGCTGAAATGTGTTCTCTTTCTTCTTTTTTTCAGCATGGAATAAACCTATTACTTGTTCCTTTGCAGCCTAAGCATGCTAACGCAGCTACCCACCTGAACTTCTATACTGTGCCCTGTGATGGACTGGCATCCCATCCTGCCTCGTGCCCATGGTTTGCCAAGATAGGCTTCAGCTCCTCAGTGACCCTGAACTGGATGAAGGGGTTAGAAAATGGACGGGGGGGGTGGATGGCTTTATAAAGAAAAATATACCCTGAGCCACTTTGAAATGTCAAAAAATGTCTTTAATCTTTTTTTTTAATTGTCAGGTTTAAACCTCTTTGATTATTGTTTATCAGAATCAGGTTATCGGTGAGGTTGAGTCAGGTCTTTCAGTGAAAGAAAATACTTTTAAAGTTTTTAGTTTTTCAACGTTTTTGAACATTTTACACCGAACATTCTTGCCTCCTCACCTGATAAATTGATATTATCTGAACGATAAGTTTCTGACTAAAAGGCATTTTTTTAAGAGATCTTTAGTTATCCATTCTGTGTTACTACAAATAATAATAAAAACCGTTATTATCTTCATTGTAGTTTTTTATTTTATTTGCAAGCATATCTCAGTAATTGCTGTTGCACTGGTGCTATAGCTGTGATGCATAAACACCTTAATCAGACAAAGCAGTGCTGAAGGAGGAGGGCTTTTTATTCTGCTGGAGCACCTGAATCACAAGCTGTCTAAAACCATTCTGCAGGTCCCATCCTGTTCACACAGCTTTGCCTTCTGCTGCACAGATTATCATCTACTAAAGTGCATAGTACTCTACTCCATTGGCTAATTCAGCTTTGTGTCCGGTAGTCACCTTTGATTAGCTATGTGCACTGTGGTTAGATATGTGTTCATATATTCAGCTCTATGTACAGTGGTCAGCTCTATGTCCAGTGGCCAGCTTTGACTCTAGAGGTCAGCACTGTTCCAGTAGTTAAGTGATCTCGCCATTTACCCTCTTACCTATAAGCTTTACTTATTAAATACATAATGCAGTAGACTTTGAATATGACCTGAGAAATGCTAGTTTCCTACTAGTGTTAACTGCGACAATTGTGGTGAATTTGTATTAACTGCCTTCTATAG